CACCATCCCCACCTGCTGGTCCCTCTGTGATTTCTTTATAATGAATTTTATTTAGAACTGATCTGTGAATCATGTTTACATTGTTCTACAACTATGTTTTCCATGTAACTAATACTACTTTTTTTTTCTTTTTCATTTTTTTAGAGAGATTTTTGCTATAGGGCATGTGCGCTTGCTAGAGAGACAGAGAAACAGAAAGTGAGAAATCACTCCTGAGGGGCGATGATCATGCTGCAATCTGTTCTTCTCCATTCTCTTCTTGGGATCTTGGGCACGCACACACACGCACTTGGCATGAATTTTAAGCTACCAGGTCCAGGACGCAAATTGTGATTGTCTATGTGGGAGTCCAGCAAAGTAATCATCTGCTGGTCTCTTTTTATTTCTTTTTAATTTGCCAGAGGGCACATATGCTTGCCAGAGAAAGGGAAAGTGAGAAAGAACCCTCCTACCCGATGGGGAATGATCACATTATAATACCTTCTCTCTGTCTCCCTCCTTTGGGGATTTTGGCATGTATGCACACATGCCTGGGTCTTTTTCAGTCCATTGGGTTCAGGACTCAAACCATGCAATTGGCCATATGAGATCCAGCTGGTTAACCATCATGCCACCTGCCAGTCCCTATCCCCAATTTTTTAATCCTTTCTCGAATTCTGCAGCATAAATAATACACTTGTGAGTTTTCCCTACTTTTTTCTTTCTTTGAAAATTAGTCGTCATGGGAACCAGCAGTTGGCGTAATGGCTATGTCGCTGGACTCCCACGTAGTCGACCGCGGTTTGCGTCCCGGACCCGGTGACTTAAAACTCACGCCAGGCGCGTGTGCATGTGTGCCCAAGATCCCAAGAGGAGAATGGAGGAGAAGGGATTGCGGTGTGGCCATCCCCCCGGGGGGGTGATTTCTCACTTTCTGTCTCTATGTCTCTCTCTGTCTGTCTGGCGAGCGCACGCACCCTATAGCAAAAACCTCTCAAAAAAAAAAAAATTAGTCGTCATTTATCTTTATGGTTTCCAGCTTCATAGGTTTTATGCTTGAAGTTTTTAAATGATCTTTGTGTTGATGAGTTTATTACTTTTGAAAATCCCCTTTCATTTGTTTTAGTGAAGTCTTAAGAAGGGCTGGCGGGATAGAGGCTGGCAGGTGCCATGCTGGTTAAGGGTGCTGGACTGTGATTTCCATCTTGTACCTGGTGGCTTGCTTTCTCACTTTTCCTTTCTCTCTCTCCCCCCTCCCCCACCCTGGTCAAATTAGAAAGAAAGAAAGAGAGAGAGAGAGAGAGAGAGAGAGAGACAGAAAGAAAGAAAGAAAGAAAGAAAGAAAGAAAGAAAGAAAAGAAAGAAAGAAAGGAAGTAAAATCATTCTTTAAAAAAAGAGGAAGGGCTGAAATCAACTGCATATGATCTACTTCCCCTTTTTCAAAGACAGTATGTCCTCTTTCTAGAGAAGTTTTGTTTTTAGATCCTTATTTTTAACAGTAATAAATTTGGAAAGTTATTTATTATAGTAGCCATTCAATAGATGTATTTTGGTGTTTTCAGTGTATCAAGATTCAAACTGGGGCCAGCAGACTTCCACATATATATAAATTTAAATAATTCTTTAAAAATATCCAAATTGACTAACTGAAATTCTTACCTTCATGAAGTCTGGCTCTATTGTAGCAGACAGATATTAAACAAACATTCAAATATGAAAGTTGTAACCATAGGGGACAAATTGATAACTACCCATTTTTAAAACAAAACATAAAGAAAAAATACAACAGAAATGGTGGTGTGTTCATAATTAAGATTGTGCATTCAGGAAATATCTTTATTAGGCTATGTCATTTATCACAGACCAGAACAATGGTTAGAAATCTACTTTTTTTTTTGAGAGAGAGATTTTCACTATAGGGCACGTGCGCTCACCAGACAGACAGAGACATAGAGACAGAAAGCGAGAAATCACCCCCTAGAGGGGATGGTCACACTGCAATCCCCTCTCCTCCATTCTCCTCTCGGGGTCTTGGGCATGCACGCACACGCGCCCGGCGTGAGTTTTAAGCCACCGGGTCCGGGACACGAACCGTGGTTAACTACGTGGGAGTCCAGCGACATAGCCATTACGCTAACTGCTGGTTCCCAATGGTTAGAAATCTATATGTGGGTAAGGGAGAAAGAGAAAATATTTCAGGCAGATGAAATCAGTGGTGGTGGTGGAAGGGGGAGCAAGTACAGTTCTGTACATTTGAAGAACTGACAAGTCCAGTGTAAGGATAGCTTATTTAATGTGGGCAAGAGGAGAGGTAAGCTTGAAGGAGCAGTCAGGAGGCAAATAAATACTTTTAACCCCAAGTTAAGGGGTGTTGGTCTTATCCTAAGGACATTGAGAAACTATTGAAACTTGTTAAGCAGAAAGATGTCAGGCTACAGATCACTCTGGCTATTAAGGGTGCAAAGCTGGAAATGTAGGCAGCTAGTGCTAAGTGCTGCTTTAGTATCCAAGTAAAAGATAATTCTGGCTCTGTTTAGCCATCGACAGTGAAGACTGAAAAAACAATTTCAACACATATGTAGAACTGGTGTAAGCAAGCTCACTTATAAACGTTGTAGGAAGAAACTGGTATTTGGAATGTTTTCTTTAATCTTTTGGAGCCCAAGGTATTTGCTCGGGGTCTTAGTTGTCTTCATGTCTGTACCATTTCCTAGTCTCTACTCTTATGGCAAATAAGTCTTCCAAAATAAGTTACCAAACATTACAGTTATTTTATGCACATAAGTACATTATGTGTGCATTTAGAATTTTTCAGTAATCATCAGAGCTGAGATTCAGAATTTTTTCTATATAGGGAGGGCCAGCAGGTGGTTTGGTGGTTAAGGTACTGGACATTCCCACATGGCCAACCATGGTTCAAGTCCTGGACCTGGTGGCTTGCTTTCTCACTCTCCCTCCCTCTCTCTCTGTGTCTCTATCTAGTTAAATTAAAGTAAATGAATGAATAAATGAAAAATAAGTAATCCTTTAAAACATTTATTTTTCTATATAGGGTACATATGCCTACCAGAGAAAGAGACAGAAAGTGAGAATACACCCTCCCAGGAGGGGAAGCCATACTATAGTTCCTTCTCCATTGTCTTGTTGCTGGCTAAAATCAGGCAGCTGTTTCTGTGAATAGTTGAGAGGTGAAGCACTGAAGGCGAAACAGTCTATTTAGCTGTGTTTAAGCACAGAGAGTGGCCAAGAGCTGACAAATTCATGACCAACTCCCAGTACAGAAATTTCCAACAAATTATATATGTTACACTTCTGGTTTATCCATTGCTACCTGTAACATAAATCTAGCTAGTTCCATATTACTCCTGCCCAGCTTCATGATTTCCCCAGGATTGTTCTGTGCACCTTTTTTTTTTTTTTTTTTTTTTTTTAGATTTTTGTGACAGGGCTTGTGTGCTTACCACAGAAAGAGACAGAGGAAAAGTGAGTACTCACTCTCTGGGGGAATGGCCACCCTACAGTTTAATCCCTTCTTCTCCATTCTCTTCTCTAGATTTTGGAACATTCCCAATGTGTTTCTGCAGGTCCAGAACTTGAACCACACAGTCAGCCATGTGAGACTCAGCACCTTAAACATCATGCCACCTGCTAGCTCCACCTGGCATGTTTTTCAAGCTGCTGGGTCTGGAACTTGAACTGCGTAGTTGACCATATGGGATCCAGCTACCTTAACCACCCTGCCAACAGCTGGCCCAGAATACTCTTTTATTTTTGTCCTTACCTAATCTCTTTCCTTCTCTCCAACTTAAAACTAGATTCTTAGTTACTCTGCTATACCCTGCTGAGTTCCCTCTCTTGTTCCTCTCAGCTTAGCCTCAAAGATTTCATACACAAACATTGCTTTTACCAAATAGCATAGACAAACTACACTCTAACCACAGAAAAATCTTCCTTCTCTATTGTTCATTTCATACTCAGTCAATACAGTAGTCTTGGGACTATCAGATGGCATAATGGCTACGTTGCTGGATTCCCATGTAGTCAACTGAGGTTTGAGTCCTGGACCTGGTGGCTTAAACTCACGCTGGGCGTGTGTATGTGCGTGCCCAAGATCCGGAGAGGAGAATGGAGGAGAACTGATTGTGGTGTGGCCATACCCTCTGGGGGTGGCGATTTCTCACTTTCTGTTTCTCTGTCTCTCTCTGTCTTTCGGGCACCGCCCCTTATAGCAAAAACCTCTCAAAAAAAAAAAAACACAAAAACCAATAGTCTTTCATTAGGTATTTGCTACATCTGGAATACCTTTCTCCTCTCTCCTTCAATTTATATGCAAATTGTGCTTATTGCTTGGTCATCTATCTCAGATTTCCCCTCCCAGGTATAGGTATTTAATGTTCTAAACAACTCTAAGAAATAAGCATGATAATTATCCTCCTATTTAAATGTTCATCACACACACACACACACACACACACACACACACAATTAGAATGGGGCCAGGATGTTGCTGTATTTTTCAAGCTCCCCAAGTCTATCTAATTTGATCTAAACCACTGTTTAGGAATAATTGACTTAATCTGTTCTCCCAAAGACCTCCTTCATCTTTTAGTATGACTTTTCTTTCATTGTCACTGCTTTCCTTATCTATTTCTCAAATGGCCCAGTCATACTTAAGAACTGTAAAAGCCACTCACTTTTTGTGAAAATTAATTTCAGTCTTTTATATCTATGACAAAAATTTCAGTTCCCCCAGAACAACAAAAAAGTGAATGTTTGCTGTTATATTTTTTTTCAGACTCTGAATCAAAGTTGAGACCAAGAAATTATTTCTGAAAAAGGATATTTATGGAATAGACTCATCCTGAAGGGAAATAATGGAAAGACTTACAAAACACAGCATTGAGTGTTCAAGTTTCAGAGGTGATTGGGAATGTGAAAGCCAGTTTGAGAGAAGACAGGGATCTCAGGAAGGACATTTCAGTCAAATGATATTTATTCCTGAAGACATGCCCACTTTCAGTACTCAACATCAGACAATTCACAGTGATGAGAAACTCCTTGAATGTAAGGAATGTGGGAAAGATTTTAGTTTTGTATCAGTCCTTATTCGACATCAACGAATTCATACTGGTGAGAAACCTTATGAGTGTAAAGAATGTGGCAAGGCCTTTGGTAGTGGTGCAAACCTTGCTTACCATCAAAGAATCCATACTGGTGAGAAACCTTACGAATGTAAAGAATGTGGCAAGGCCTTTGGTAGTGGCTCAAACCTTACTCACCATCAGAGAATCCACACTGGCGAGAAACCATACGAGTGTAAAGAATGCGGGAAAGCATTTAGTTTTGGATCAGGCCTTATTCGACATCAGATCATTCACAGTGGTGAAAAGCCATATTTTAGGGAATGTGGAAAATCCTTTAGTTTTGAATCAGCCCTTACTCGGCATCACAGAATTCACACAGGTGAGAAACCTTATGAATGTAAAGATTGTGGGAAAGCCTTTGGCAGTGGTTCAAACCTTACTCAACATCGGAGGATTCATACTGGTGAGAAACCTTATGAATGTAAAGCATGTGGAATGGCATTTAGTAGTGGATCAGCCCTTACTAGGCATCAGAGAATTCATACTGGTGAGAAACCATACATATGTAATCAATGTGGGAAGGCCTTTAGTTTCGGATCAGCTCTTACTCGACATCAAAGAATTCATACGGGTGAGAAACCTTATGTATGTAAAGAATGTGGAAAGGCTTTTAATAGTGGTTCAGATCTCACTCAGCATCAGAGAATTCACACTGGTGAGAAGCCCTACGAGTGTAAGGAATGTGAGAAAGCCTTTAGAAGTGGTTCAAAACTTATTCAGCATCAAAGAATGCACACTGGGGAGAAACCCTATGAATGTAAGGACTGTGGGAAAGCCTTTAGTAGTGCTTCGGACCTTACTCAGCACCAGAGAATTCATACTGGTGAGAAACCCTATGAATGTAAAGAATGTGGGAAGGCCTTTGGTAGTGGTTCAAAACTTATTCAGCACCAGCTAATTCATACTGGTGAAAAACCCTATGAATGTAAAGAATGTGGAAAGTCCTTTAATAGTAGCTGCACCGCCCCTTATAGCAAAAACCTCTCAAAAAAAAAAAAACACAAAAACCAATAGTCTTTCATTAGGTATTTGCTACATCTGGAATACCTTTCTCCTCTCTCCTTCAATTTATATGCAAATTGTGCTTATTGCTTGGTCATCTATCTCAGATTTCCCCTCCCAGGTATAGGTATTTAATGTTCTAAACAACTCTAAGAAATAAGCATGATAATTATCCTCCTATTTAAATGTTCATCACACACACACACACACACACACACACACACACAATTAGAATGGGGCCAGGATGTTGCTGTATTTTTCAAGCTCCCCAAGTCTATCTAATTTGATCTAAACCACTGTTTAGGAATAATTGACTTAATCTGTTCTCCCAAAGACCTCCTTCATCTTTTAGTATGACTTTTCTTTCATTGTCACTGCTTTCCTTATCTATTTCTCAAATGGCCCAGTCATACTTAAGAACTGTAAAAGCCACTCACTTTTTGTGAAAATTAATTTCAGTCTTTTATATCTATGACAAAAATTTCAGTTCCCCCAGAACAACAAAAAAGTGAATGTTTGCTGTTATATTTTTTTTCAGACTCTGAATCAAAGTTGAGACCAAGAAATTATTTCTGAAAAAGGATATTTATGGAATAGACTCATCCTGAAGGGAAATAATGGAAAGACTTACAAAACACAGCATTGAGTGTTCAAGTTTCAGAGGTGATTGGGAATGTGAAAGCCAGTTTGAGAGAAGACAGGGATCTCAGGAAGGACATTTCAGTCAAATGATATTTATTCCTGAAGACATGCCCACTTTCAGTACTCAACATCAGACAATTCACAGTGATGAGAAACTCCTTGAATGTAAGGAATGTGGGAAAGATTTTAGTTTTGTATCAGTCCTTATTCGACATCAACGAATTCATACTGGTGAGAAACCTTATGAGTGTAAAGAATGTGGCAAGGCCTTTGGTAGTGGTGCAAACCTTGCTTACCATCAAAGAATCCATACTGGTGAGAAACCTTACGAATGTAAAGAATGTGGCAAGGCCTTTGGTAGTGGTGCAAACCTTGCTTACCATCAAAGAATCCATACTGGTGAGAAACCTTACGAATGTAAAGAATGTGGCAAGGCCTTTGGTAGTGGCTCAAACCTTACTCACCATCAGAGAATCCACACTGGCGAGAAACCATACGAGTGTAAAGAATGCAGGGAATGTGGAAAATCCTTTAGTTTTGAATCAGCCCTTACTCGGCATCACAGAATTCACACAGGTGAGAAACCTTATGAATGTAAAGATTGTGGGAAAGCCTTTGGCAGTGGTTCAAACCTTACTCAACATCGGAGGATTCATACTGGTGAGAAACCTTATGAATGTAAAGCATGTGGAATGGCATTTAGTAGTGGATCAGCCCTTACTAGGCATCAGAGAATTCATACTGGTGAGAAACCATACATATGTAATCAATGTGGGAAGGCCTTTAGTTTCGGATCAGCTCTTACTCGACATCAAAGAATTCATACGGGTGAGAAACCTTATGTATGTAAAGAATGTGGAAAGGCTTTTAATAGTGGTTCAGATCTCACTCAGCATCAGAGAATTCACACTGGTGAGAAGCCCTACGAGTGTAAGGAATGTGAGAAAGCCTTTAGAAGTGGTTCAAAACTTATTCAGCATCAAAGAATGCACACTGGGGAGAAACCCTATGAATGTAAGGACTGTGGGAAAGCCTTTAGTAGTGCTTCGGACCTTACTCAGCACCAGAGAATTCATACTGGTGAGAAACCCTATGAATGTAAAGAATGTGGGAAGGCCTTTGGTAGTGGTTCAAAACTTATTCAGCACCAGCTAATTCATACTGGTGAAAAACCCTATGAATGTAAAGAATGTGGAAAGTCCTTTAATAGTAGCTCAGCTCTTAATCGTCATCACAGAATACATAGTGTTGAGAAACTTTATGAACATAAGGAATGTAGGAAGGTTTTTGGGAGGAATTCAGAGTTTGAGCAACACAAGCGAAATCATCATGGTAAGAAGCTCTGTGAACTGGAAATTCTATGAATTGAAATTATGTAGTTAAGGAAGGACTTCTAATACATGATATAAGAAAAATTATACTGGCGAAAATCTCTCTAGATTTAATTAAGATACCAGTGCCTCCTCTGTGCTTCATAGATTAGTAAGCTTGAGAGAATTCATACAGAAAAAAAATCACTCTGAATGGAATAAATATTTAGTCTTTACATTCAATTGTTATTTATTTTTAGAAAATTCATACTGGTAATGTAAAAATTAATAAACAAATGTATTATATTTCACCTTTATTTGATCATTGAAAAATTCCCTTTTGAGATAACTCTATTACTTTTATTTTTTAAATGGTCTTTTTATGTGTGTATATTAAACAGAATTACTGGTACTTCTCAAAATTATTTTATTTATTGAAAGTAAATTTTTGGGGGAGAGGTTTTTGCTATAGGGCACATGCACTTGCCAGAAAGACAGAGAGAGATAGAGAGACAGAAAGCGAGGAATCCCCCCCTGGAGGGATGGCCATGCCGCAATCCCTTCTCCGTTCTCCTCTTGGGATCTTGGGCACATGCGCACACGCGCCTGGCGTGAGTTTGAAGCCACCAGATCGGGGTCTTGAACCACAGTTGACTATGTGGGCGTCCAGCCACATAGCCATTACGCCAACTAGGCATCAGACAATTCATACTGGTGAGAAACCATACATATATAATCAATGTATGGTCCCTATTGAAAATAAATTGATCTTTTTCTTTCCCTGATTCTCATCCTAATACCATTATTCAATAACCCTATCTATTTTTATATTATTTTTTGTTGACTGTTTGATGGTGAATTATATTCTTATTTATAGAAAGGTTGGGTATCAGGTCAGTATTTGTTTTTAAAATTCGCATATATGTTTCTGTGTCTCACCATTTTTATGTTAAGTATCAATGGCTTTTATGTATCCTGTAATATCTAATGGGTCTGTACCTTTTGTTTGTTTTATTTTACCTTTATAGGGTTTATAAACTTTATTTTCAAAACAACTTTCCCCCTTAAAAATGTAGATTAGAACCAAAAAATAGATATGGTTATCTGTTATCTTATCAATCACAAATAATTACTGTCAAACTTTAGGAGCAAACCCTTTAAGACTCTATGTCTCATTTTTTGGGGGAAACAAAGTATGATTATGCTATACTATAACCAGTCTTTAATATTCTTTTCCTGTAAATATATTGTTACTATTTTATTGGTTTTATAGTATTCACCTGTTTTTGTCAAAACACTATTTTGTCAAATATTGAAAATTTTGCAATTATAAAGTTACCTGGATATCCCCTTTTTCAGTGTCTGCATTATTTATTTGTCATTCATTTCAGAGATAATGTGTGGATCTCTTTTGTTTATAAAATACATATATGTTGGACCAGGTGGTGTGGTAGTTAAGGTAACTGAATCCCACATGGCCAACTCAGTGGTCTGAGTCCTGGACCTGGTGGCTTGAAAACATGTCAGGCACATATGCGTGTGTGCCCGAAAATCCCAAGAGAAGCATGGAGAAGAACGGATTGCAGACTGGCCATCCCTTCTGGGTTTGTGTTGGGGGGTGCTTTCTCACATTACCTTTCTGTCTCTCTCCTGCTACCACACGTGCCCTGTAGCAAATATCGAAAAACAGAAAAAGACATATGTCATAGATAAAGTTGTGCTATAGGTCCATGTATTCACTGGAAAGAGACAGAGAGAGGTAAAGTGAGAAATCACTTCCAAGGAAGGATGGCCACAACACTCAGCTGGCCATGCGGGATCCTGGCTCCTTTATCTCCATGCCACCTGCTGGCACAGTTCTTCCCCATCTTTAACCAATCTACTCTTTCACTTTCCTTTACATGCATAAATGATGTATGTATCATAATGTGGGCATAGTTCAGCATTTCCTCCATTCTCCAGTCAGGATTTTAGGTATGCACACACATGCACCTGGCGGAATTTTAAGCTGCCAGGTCTGGGACTCAAACCGCAATCAACTATATGGAAGTTCAGTGATGTAACCAATATGCCATCTGCTGGGCCTAACTTGTTCTTTTTTAATCAAAAAAACTTTTAACTGTGGTTCATATTGTACTCAAAAACAAAGACTTCACAAAGGAGAATGATACTCATGTAAATAAATACAGAAAAAAATTATCAATACTCATTTATTATTAAATAAGAATAATTCATACTGGGGCCAGTAGGTGGCATGATAGTTAAAGCTCTGGACTCACATGGCTGTCCACAGTTTGAGTCCCAGACTTGGCAGCTTGCTTTCTCACTTTCCCTCTCTCTCTTTTTTCTTTCTCTGTGACCACACATGACTTATAACAAATTAATAATAATAATAATAATAACTATATTTTAATTAAATAAATAATTCTTTTAAAAAAGAATAATTTATGCTAGGGACCAGCAGTTAGTGTAATGGCTATGTCGCTGGACTCCCATGTAGTCGACTGTGGTTCGCATCCCGGACCTGGTGGCTTAAAACTCACGCCAGGCATGTGTGCGTGCGTGCCCAGGATCCTGAGAGGAGACTGGAGGAGAAGGGATTGTGGCGTGGCCATCCCCCCTAGGGGGTGATTTCTCGCTTTATATCTCTGTCTCTGTCTGTCTGGCAAGCGCACGCGCCCTATAGCAAAAATCTCTCAAAAAAAAACAAAACAAAACAAAAAATAATTTATGCTAATGCAAACATGAAATTCTAGTGTGAGAAAGCAAATGCACCATAACATTAATGGAAATAAAAATAAAATGACAGTAGCCCCTTCATAATCTGAATATTAATTTGCTACCCATCTGCATTATTCTTTGATTAAAAACAAAATTAAGAAAACATTGTCTCGGGCCAGCAGGTGGCATGGTAGTTAAGGCACTGGACTTCCACATTGTTGACCATAGTTCGAGGTCCAGACTGGTGGCTTGCTTTCTCTCTCTCTCTCTCCCCCAGTCTCTGTCACTCTCTGGTGAGTACACATGCCCTATAGGAAATTAAAAAATAATAATAATAAATACGATTAAATAATTCTTTTAAAAAAAAGAAGGGGGGACCAGCAGATGGCATAATGAGAGTCTGGGACTCGAACTACAGTTGACTACATGGCAGTCCAGCGATGTAGCCATTATACCATCTGCTAGTTTGAGAAAACATTTTCTTTGGAAATGCATGTTCATGAGTAAACTAGATAATAAAACTTGTGAGGACCTGCTAGATCTACACAGGAAATTTTATATTTTATAGTTTTAAATCCATTCATATCTTAGGATATTAAAGAAATTATGAATAAAGAAACTAGTCATATAACCCAAGATGTCAAAAAGAATAACAACAAAGTTAATAAAAGGAAAGATAATTTTTTAAAAATCTTAGAATTATTATATTTAACTTTATGTATTTATTTATTTCAATTTGACAGAAAAGGACAGAGCAAGAAAGAGAGAGAGGTAAAGTGAGAAAACAAGCTACCAGGTTCAGGACTTGAACTGCAGTTGGCCATGTAGGAGTCCAGTACCCTTAACCACCATGCCACCTGCCAGTGCCAATAATTTAAATTTTAGAAAGTGAAAAAATAAGCTGGTTTAATAACCATGGACTATTTTGGGAGAACAAAAGAATATAATCACAATTCTGGTAAATGAAAGTAAATGGAGATTGTTATAAATGACAGAAGGACATTAGTGTAAGTTGAAAGACAACTTTTTAATGGAACGATTATAATTATTTAAAAATTTGCTATAGGGCACATGTGCTCACTAGAGAGAGACACAGAGAGAAGGAAAGTGAGAAAGCAAGTTTCCAGGTCATAGTCAGCCATGTGGGAGTCCGGTACCCCAACCACTATGCCATCTCCTGGCTCCCAAAGACAACTTCTTAATAATTGTTTCAAAAATTAAAGTGCATATTTTGAGAAAGTGCTTAAATCATCAGAATTGACTAAAAAATCATAGACACGGTTACCGCATTAGATCTTGGCCAAGTGGTGAAAAGAGATAGAAATGTTAGCACATAAGGGATATAAAGCAAAAGCTCCTATATCTAGAAGACTGAAGAAAAAAATTCCTCTAACCAAAATTATCACAGATTTGTTTTTGTTTAGAATTATTTATTTAATTTAATTTATTGTTATTACTTTTTAATTTGCTATAGGGCACACACACTCACCAGAGAGAGAGAGAACGTGAGAAAGCAAACCACCAAGTCCAAGACTTGAACCATGGTCAGCCATGTGAGAATCCAGCATGCTAGCCACCACACCACCCTCTGGCCCCTATCACAATTTTTTTTTTCCTAGTCAGATCCCTTGAGAGAGGATTCTGTCATTCAATCATATTTTTCATAAGAAAAGGGAAACAAAAGATCAAAATATCTCAGCAATAGCATCTTTTATAATTTTAGAAAATTGGAGGGGCCAGCAGGTGGCAGGTGTTGAGGAGCTGGACTCTCACATGGCTGACCACAGTTGAGTCCTGGACATGGTGGCTTGCTTTCTCACTTTCCCACTCTTTCTGTCTCTCTTTGGTCAAATTTAAAAATAATAAAAATAAATCATTCTTTTTTTAAAAATTGGGGGTTTTTTTCTCCTAAATTATTAGCAAGTGATGTAATTGGAATGATTAAGAAACCAAAGCGGGGACCAGCAGGTGGCATCATGCTTAAGGTGCTGGATACTCCCACATGGCTGACCACAGTTCGAGTCCCGGACCTGGTGGCTTCCTTTCTCCCTTTCCCTCTCTCTCTCTCTCTCTCTCTCTCTCTCTCTCTCTCTGTATCTCTCACTGGTCAAATTAAAATAAATGAATGAATAAATAAAATGAAATAAGTAATAATTTAAAAAAAAAAGAAACCAAAGT